ACCCATGTTCTTTCCCCACGGTCTTGCTATTTCGGTTACTAAGAATAGGCAGCTTAGAGTGGGATGGGGGGAGACACTGGAATTCTCACCACTGATTTCCCAGTGGGTTTCCACATGGCCTTCAAGCAGTCTCCTATCTCCATCTCCAGTGGCTTCCTGGGGACTGTATATACAGTTGTTTTATTGACTGTACCCAGAGTGCACATGAAGGCCGGAGGCCTATCTGACAGTGACATGCTCTGCAAGGTCTCTGAGCCCTATGAGTGAAGTCTCAAACAGTTCAGTGCCACCATCTTACCTGCGACCTGCAGGATGCAAATGATGCTGAAACCAACCTGGCCAGCTCTGAGTGATGAAAGCCAATCACAAATTTGAAAATAGGCCCCAGATGTGAGGACATGAGACAGTTACATTGACTTCCTCTTTTTTAATTGGAGCGGTTTCATGTTGCAGAAAACCAGTGTGTTGGGGTTGCAGGAGAACCCAACATGGTCACCGTGCAGCAGGGCTGTGAACTCATGGCCCTCTACCTTCCCCTTGCTGTGTTCTGGGTAGTCCAGACATCACCGGGTAAGTGAAGTGTTTGAATGTTGGTCTGGGAATGGAGATGTGTCTGCCTTTGGGGAAAAGACTCGAAGGAAAGACGGGTGGTCTCACTCTGACCCTCCACAGAAGCAGTGTTTGCGTGGGACAGGAAGGGTGGGCAGAAGAGAGTCTGATGTGCAGGATTGGACGGCTCTCTGAATCCAAAGATCTTCAAGCCTTTCTCCCCTCTCTGACCACGATGCCCTCGCCAGCCACAATCTCTTCTCTTTCCTTTCTTCCCTGAGACAAGTTTCTAGAAAGAGCAGTCTGCACTCAGTATCTCCACCTGCCCAGGGTCTCACTCACTCCTTGATGGTTGCAGTCTGGCTGCTGGATTCCGTTTTTCCCAGGGGACGGTGACCTCTGTATTGACTGGGTCATTGCACCCTTTTCATTTTTATCCTACTGGACTTCTCTCTTCTTTGGGCTCTGTTGATTCTTATTCTCACTCTGCTTTCTCCATTCCTGGCCTCCATGCTGCCATTTTCTCCTTGTTCTACTTGTCCTTCTCTTGGTCTCGTGGTAGCCTCTCTTCTCTCCCCCTTAAACACTAGTGTTTTCCTAGGTATGTCCTTGTTCTCTACTCTTCTGTATTCATATACTCTCTTTTATGGGCTTGTCTCTCTGTATGAGTCTTGCTGCTAACCTGCATGTTTAAGTCTCAAATCATATTTCCAACCCCATCATGCTTCCGAGCTTTGAATATCAAGCTTTGTGCAATATATACTTTACCCGTGCATCTCACAGTTGTCTCAGCACAACCTGAATTCATCTGTCCTCCTGGCCCCCACTTTCTAATTCATCTTCCACTATTTCTGATCTTATTTAATGACACAGACACCCACCCCAACATCCAGATCAGAAACCTGAGATACAACCAAGACTCTTCTCCACCATTCTCTGTATCTGATCAGTAATCAAGTACAGTAAACGTTACCCTTAAATCATTCTCAGAGTCAGTTCCTTTCCTGAAGCTTCACTCATGTTGTCCTAGGTCAAGTCCTCATCATCTGTCACTTGGACTAGTCAATTTGTTTGTTTTGATTTGTTTTATTTTGTTTTGTCATAGGGCACATGTGCTCACTGGTGAGAGACAGAGAACAAGAAAGAAAAGGAAAGTGAGAAATCACCCCCCGGCGGGAATGCCATACCTCAATCCCTTCTCCTCTTGGAATTTTTGGGTGCACATGGGCCTGGCGTGATTTCCAAGCCACCAATTCAGAGATGCAAACCAGGAAGTTGGCCATGTGGAATCCAGTGTCTTAACCTCCATGCCTCCTGCTGGCCCATCATTCCCTTCTTAACCAATCTCATCTCAACCTTGTGTCCCCAGGATGAACTCTGCACTCTGCAGCCACGGGGATTTCTACCGGTCTGAGCTCCTTATTGTGGTCCACCAGGTCCACCATAACCTCGTACCTATTCAGTCTCCTTGGCTCTCCCACCCTCTGAGCCTCGCCATTTATGTGCTTTAAGTCCTATTAGATGGTGGTGAGCTTATATTTGCACACTCACACACAGATTCTTGCTTGTCTCCATGACTTTGCTTCTACGGCAATGTCTGCTTGGAGTGATCTCTCTCTGGCCTCTCAGTTGCCCTGCTGCTTACAAACTGCTAAGCATGCCCGAAGGCTCTGCTTAGGGGACCTCTCTTCCAGGAAGCCTTCCTTGAGCCCTCCTTTCTGCTCTGACAACTGCCTGTGACACCTCTTCCTTAGTTCTTTCTACCTCATGCTGAAACGCTGTCTTATACCTGTGTCTCCCACTGAACTGCGGGCCATTTGAGGTCAGGGACAATGTCTTTATGTTTGTTTTGTGGCAAGAACTGCAGATTTGGGGACCAGCAGTTAGCGTAATGGCTATGTCGCTGGACTCCCATGTGGTCGACCGTGGTTCACGTCCTGGACCCGGTGGCTTAAAACTCATGCC